TGAGGCGTGTTGCTGTCGCATGGACTGGCATCGTTGTCCACTATGTTGAAGCGCTTTAGGTACGTTTTGTGAAATCCATGACCAGTAAGAAATTGCGTCATTACAAAAGAAACACCGAAACGTTGCGTATAAACTTTAGCATCCTCCGGAGATTGGAAGAAAGTCTTAGTTGTTGATCCATTTGGAGCATTTAGATATTCTTGTTGCCAGTATGCTGCCGTCTCTGAACGTATTTGACTATTAACGGAACAAATAGCGCATTGAGTGAATGCCATATCATCTAAAGGAGCTGCCGCTTTTATGGCGTAGCTGTCAGCCAATTCATTGCCTTCTATTCCAACGTGGGCTTTAATCCAGTAAAAATGTATGGAGTGTGTTAGTCTAAGTTGAAAAAGACGTTCGTGGATAGATACTATGAGGGGCATGGTATTGCTACGGTCCTTTATTGCTTCAAGGCAAGATTGACTGTCGCAAAATAATTGTAGCCTTGATTCGTCAGGATTTGTTTGGGCCCATGCTAAGGCGCAGTCTATTGCGAAAACTTCCGCTTGAAACACTTTACATAAATGATGTAGCTTGAACTTTCGTGTCTCCCATCGTCCATCGCGTTGAAGTATGACAAATGCGGCACCGCACTCCCCAGTTTCCTGTTTGCTGCCATCTGTATATATTTGTAGGGCATTATGATCGAGGACGTTATTGGTTTCTTCCTGAGTTCTCACAGTGCCATACTTGATTGTTTGGCGAGAAGCAGGATGTAGCTGTAGTTTCGGGCAGATTCTCTGCTGGATGGAAATGTCCTCTAAAGGTGTTTTGAATGTTCCGGACGTTTGGATTTTATCTATTCTCATAGCTTCTTCTACTTTGAGATGTAATGGAACAAAGTTTGCCAGGGCTAGTGCTGAAGTAATCGAGATGGTGCGGAATGCCCTGATTGCTCAGATTGCAAAGCTTCTTTGAAATGCCTTTAGCATGCGACGAACATTGTAATACTTTGTAGCTCTTTCCCAAATTGCAGCGGCATATGTTACAGTTGGCTCAACGACCTGCCTATAAAGTATAGTAACATTTTCAGAATGAATGCCCCATGTGGGACGCACAAATCTGCAGAGATTTTTAAACGTACGCTGGACTTTGTCGATAACGTATCGTGCATGTTTGCTGAACCTGAGGTGATTGTCGATGATCACGCCAAGAACTTTCATCTCTTCCACAAAACTCAAATTAGCGCCATTCATCGTAATTTTTGTCAGTTTTGCGTTTCTCGTAAAAGCCATAACTTTTGTATTTGCTTCGCCAAAAGCTAGCTTAACGTCGATTCCCCATTGATGTATTAGCTGCAGTGAAGTGTTAGTGTTTCTTTCAAGCTCTTCTACCGATTTCGCAATCGCTGGGCAAATATAATTTCAACAGATCGTCTAAGATGATGTTCCAGAAAGTTGGTCCGCACACAGAGCCCTGGATGCATCCTTTGGGCATACCTTTTCTTGCAGTAGCATCTGCGTAGTCCATTGTGACGACTCTGTCCTCCAGATAGCTCTGAACTAATTTATAAATGTTCGCAGGGACGCGATGTTTCGAAAGTTGGCTGAGGAGCATTGGCCACCAGGCGTTGTCGAAAGCTGCTTTGATATCAAGTGAAACGCATATGACTTGACTTTTTTGCTGCTTCTTTCTTTCAATCAACTCTATAGCATTGCGTAATGCGTCCACCGTGGATGTTTGCTCTTTGAATCCAAATTGATTCGCTGATCACAGATCATGTTTTTCCGCAAAATATATGAGTCGTTTGATGAAAAGTTTTTCCAATAGCTTGCCAAATACGGGAAGCAGTCCAATAGGTCGATATGATGATAGATCGCTCATGTCTGATTTATTTGCTTTTGGAATAATCTTGGCGTAAGCCTTTTTCCACATTTTTGGAAAGTAGCCAATTTTAAAACAAGCGTTATAGAGCCCTGTAAGGAAGGATAAATTGCTTTTTGCAAAAGCCAGGCATATATCGGGCGTTAGATGATCAGGTCCAGGTGTCTTATTTTGGCTCATGGTGTTGAGAGCTTCCAAAACTTCGTCCTCAGTGAACGCCACATCAATTTCAGTATCTAAGAGCTTTTTCACATGTTCACGCAAAAAATGGTGGTGTGTCGTGGTACCATCGAAGTCATCCGGGTAAAAGTGTTTTAATAAGGCGTCTGCAGTCTCATGACTATTTTCAGTGAAGGTTTCTGAGTATCGAAGTGTGGTAGGTGGACGTTGAGAAGGTGCATCTTTAATAATGCGGTTTGTCTGAGACCACAAATCTTCTTTGCCCTGCTTATTACAAAACTCGCGGAAGTATTTTATGGACGTTTCCTTGAGTGCACTAGCGTACTCTTTTTTAGCGGCAGCATGTTCCAGTGCAGCAAAGATGGTATCTTTTTTGAGCTTGCTAGGATTATTAAGTTTGTGGTGTAATTTTATGCATTTGTTTTTTAATATCTCTAGCTCATCAGTCCACCAAGGATTAGCCGGCTTACCGGTCCCTCGCATTTTCATTGAACAAGTGCAAGCGGAAGTTATTGCATCAGTCATTAGCTTAACAATATTTTCTAAGCTATCTGGAGTAACAACTCTAAAATCGGTGCTTAAAATGTTTGCCTGTTGCAACCGCTGGTTTAGCACGTCATTAAAAATATTCCATTTTGCAGTTTTGTTGTTAAATAAATATGTGGTTGTTAGTTATCGTGGAATGCCCCTGAACTTTAAAAAGTATTGCTGTATGATCAGAGCTTTGAATTGCATCTTCATTAACATGCCAGTCAGTAACCCGATCTGCAAAGCTCTCCGATGCAAGAGTGACACCTATTATGGAACTTACCATAACTCCGTGACGAATAGCAGCAAAAGTAGACGTGGCTCCCTCATTGCACACCACGAGAGAGTTTGCTGCTATTATATCGACCATAGTTTTACCGTGGCCATTCGCGCTGCGTGAGCCCCATTGGGGATGCCAGCCATTGAAGTCTCCACCCAGAATTTGAAAAGATGAAGAGGTGTTAAGCAAAAATCTATTAACAGCCTCAAATGTGTTGAGTGTACACACCAGCGATGTACAACTCCCGCTGATCGATATAGAGCTTTACCACTGTGAAATTTGGCGTTGACGGCTGCGAAATACCTAGTACTGCCCCAACTGACATCTTTACTAAGATGCAGGATTTCATTTTGCGGCCAACAGCAGGAAATTGGAATAGTAGAACACCATCAATCGGTTTAACGCGATCAGCTTTACCAGTGTACGGCTCGGAGACCAGTGCGATGTCAACTGGGTGTGAGAGAAAGTATTGTAAGAGCTCGTTTTGAGTAGTGCTGCAGTGAGTAACATTGATTTGTAGAAAACTTAATGACTTAGAACCCATAATCGGTAC